GGAAAGTGGATAAGATTCTTGCTTGTTAATGTTGCAAAGATAGTTCTTGTAGTGTGATTGTTTTGATGGATAATGAATTTTATGCAATGTCCGAAGTCATAAAACTGGTATCTGTAGCTCGTGGAGTTATATGTGTAATTTTACTGTTTTGGACTGGACGGCAGACAGAGTGTAAATAAATCAGTCTTTCGTATAAACTTATGTACTTGTTTAAACGAAAGTGGTGTCGGAATGTGGTGTTTGAATTCAACATCTCAGAACTCTTCGCAAAATAAGGTATGCAAAAATATGCTTCCAATTATTATTTTTATTAGTAAGTTAAAATACGGCAGTTTTTAAAACTTCCTTCTCTTTGTGGGATATGAGGGCTATTGCTTGCGCCTTGGTCTCAAATAGAACCCTGGGAATAAACTATATCAATGATTACTGCCAACCGATAACTGTCAGTCTGAACACATATTTTTTGGCGATAATACCAATATTATTATTTAACGTCCAGAAATAGACTGTTTCCAAAATCACATGAATGATTTCTTTGCTAGCTTGAACAAGTGGAGTAAAGCCAGTAAGCTCACATTAGATTTTGACAAAACCAATTTTGTAATACCAACAGAAATTGTGTTCTGGGTTTGTGGTATAAGGATAAAACAATTGAAGTAGAAACAACTGAATTTTGTGGCGTTCAAATTGACTACAATAACTTAAATTGGAAAAACATATATTTAATACATTATCCCTAAACTAAGCTTAGCATGCTTTATTATGAGGAGTCATATTATCAATGAAAACAGAAACTTTAAAAATAGTTTACTAATTTACTTCCATTCACTCATGTCATATGGATTCATTTTCGGGGGAAACTCAACAGACAGCAAAAAAGTATTTTACGTTCAAAATAGAATCATTAGAATAATGGCAGGCACTAAAAGGGGAGCCTCAATTAGGGAATGGTTTAAGAAATTTAATATTCTTCCACTAGCCAGTGAATTCTTTCCCTCATTGTTGTCATTTGTAGTGGACATCATAGAAAAATTTCAAACAAACTCAGATATCCACAATATAAGACAAGATACCGACATAAGCTTCATGTCCAAAACACAAAATTTAGTAAATACCAAAAAGGAGTTTACTATTCAGGAATTAAGCTATTCAGTAATCTTTCCCCCCACTATAAAAAGTCTGAATCACAATATAAGGAAGTTGAAGCCACAACTAAAAGAGTATCTCTTATCTCACTCATACTCAATAGAATAATTTACCTCAACCAGAAATTTTCAGCTATTATAAATACATATAATCAACAGTGGTTATGCTTTCTTGGATAATTATTGTTGCAGTAATACTGTAATTGACTGTAAATTACTGCCATAACTATGTAATTTATATTTGTATTAGAAACAAGTATTGCATTTATGCTGTGACATGTTCTACATCCTTGGCCTGGACCTATGAAAGATATGTGGAATGTAAATAAATTCTGTTCTATTTTAAATGCACTGTATGAAGTTTTGAAGACTAACAAGCAGTCTTCAAAGTGCTACCCATCTCTGTTACAATCGAAAGTAAGTAAACTAGACTGCAGAGATAGAGACCATACCCATGGATCACTGTACTTTTATATTGAAGTTGTAATAACCCAACACACATTGAAATGGTGGAATTCGTTAACATGTGTTAATCTAACCAAATAATGGTAAATAGGCGTAGTAGTAGTGATGCTAACAAGAACGGTTGATGGTACAAAACTTTATATTGTGATTAATAATATAGAAAATGTCTGCCATATACTTACATAGTAGTTATTTGTAGGTTATAAGAGCAAGAATATCTTTTTATTTTGTTTGTTTGCATTGAACAGTTGCAACAAAAGAAGTGGCAGTATTATGTCTGCAGTTTAACAACAAAGAATTTAAAATAAATGCCTCAAAATGTTCACAGAATGTCTGTACAGATTTACTATGTCTGTTATCCAATAAGCAAACTATTTTGATTTTTATCTGCTGACATTTTACATCTGTGAAAGTAGTTAACATCTCCTGAACAACAGTTTATATACAGAAGATGGGCAGTATAATTTCATCCATGGATATGATCAACAGGCAGATATAATTTGCATTTTCCTTTGCTATTTATTTAGGCATTTAGTAGAAAATAGGTGTTGGTGCTTTGTTGATTCACAGTGCATGACAATTATTAAAATAACTGGAAGAGGAACAAGTCATATACTAAGACACAAGTAAGAAAATTTATACTTGAGCTTGGATTTAGTAATAATCTGCATTAAATCCTGGCAGTGGGAAAGATGCTATATAAAGTGCTAAGAACTGTGTATATAATTGCATGTCACAAGAAGATATGTTAGAATTATTGTTAAAAGGTAAATGCAGGTACTGGATATTCATTATCCTTTGACTGCAGGCAATGTTTCTGTCAACAGGTCCAATGTAAATAAGAAACAATGGAAGAGCATAGTGCTCAGGAGAAGCAGTATTTGTCTCAGCAGATGAAGAACATGACTGAAGATTCAAACAATGTAGGACTTGATTCTCATGACTTTGTGCCAGAACACAAGCCAAACATATTGCAGTCATCATGGAAACCATTTGGCTGTGAAACATGTGGCAAACGATTCACCCTAAAAGGTAGCCTTAGAACACATGAGAAGCTCCATGGCTTTCGACCAGTGTATAATTGTGATATCTGTGGGAAAACTTTCAAAGTAGCAGCTGGACTCAAGTCTCATGCATCATTGCATTCTGGACAAAAGCCATTCCATTGTGACATCTGTGGCAAGTCTTTTACACTTAAAGGAAGTTTGAAAACACATTCAGCTCTTCATTCCACAGTGCAAGAGTCATTTCCTTGTTACGTATGTGGGAAGACGTACAAAGGAAAAGCCAGCCTCAAGTCTCACTCCGCTATGCACTCAAACAAGAAACCATTTATGTGTGAGGTTTGTGACCAACATTCTACCCGTAGCAGTTTCACATTGCATGCAGCATTGTGTTATAAGAATAAGCCTTATGTCTGCCAGGTTTGTGGGATGTGCTTTGAGGTTAGAAGCCATCTCATACAACACATCACGTCACACATGGTGATGTTAAGAAACATGTACTTTATGTAGGTTGTAGAACATTTTGATCTTCATTGTGCAACTTCATGTGCTTCTTAGGATATAATGTGGTGGAAGCATGGTAAAATGTTAGCATAAAGAGCTGTCAGTACCTTTTTTTTCATTAGAAGTCTCAAATATCCTAAATTTTATTTTCATTAATTTGGTATTTGAGTATTTATTTGTTTATTGTTTATTTGTTATATCATTTATTTAACATTTTATTTATATATTTCTCAATTATTTATTTGCAGTGAAACTACTGGTTGTGGCAACTAAGACATCCACCCCTCCTGACAAACAATATTGTCAGTATGGATATCGTCATCTTCTTGACAAAATATTGGTGTTCTTGTAACTTCATTCCATTCTTGCACATTTCTTCGCCCTGGCAAACTCTAGAACAGGTTCAGATTTCCCGCAATTCTAGTAATGGTCACTTTTCTAGTCAAGATAATCTCTTTTATGGAACCAAAAAGTTAATTATTCACAAGGAATCCACCACTGGACCTTGTACTGAGCTAAATGAATGCAGTCCACAGTCTCATACTCTATTTCTTTAACATGCATTTTAATATTATCCTCGCATCTCTACTTTTATGTTCCTTTCAGATTTTCTGACTAAATTTTTGTATGCATCTTTCATCTTCCATATATGTTACTTTTCCTCCCCATTTCATTCTCCTTGATATGATGAGCCCAATAATATTTTATAAAGAGTACAGATTTTGAAACCTATAATTGTTTGATTTTTTATGATACTCTTTAGTTTCTTTCTCTTACAGTAGGTACAAATATTCTCAGCACTCTCATTTGTAACATCTTCAGTCTGTGTTCTTCCTTAAAGGTGAGCCCTTACAAAACAACTTAGTTCAGAATAGTAATATGCATTCCCTGAATTTAATCTGCTCTTAATTTCTGAAGCAACTGAACATAGCAAAATTAAATTTCCTCTTTTGCACTTTATGAATGAAAAAGTGTTTAAATCATTTGATGACAGCAAAAAGAAATGGATCTATATCACAAACTTCTGATGTGACATTTCTGCAACTGAATCCTTGCAATCAGAAATTTTTAATGAAGTACAAGGTTTATCACTTGTTCTTGTAGTTTATATCACCAATATAATGCATTGTATCATTTTAAGTTTTGTAAAATTAACTTGCAGACCTGTTATTCACTGTTCATCACATCTACTCTAATGTGCTTTGTCCTTCGCTTGTTCTGACACAAAGCTGAGTTTATAATTTTATTTCTTGATAGACTTCTTTATATACTTTCGTATAACATCCTGGTATCATTTATTAAATGAAGTTGCTTAAAAATATTTTTTTGTGATTCAGACTTAACTTCTGATTCTAAAACATATGTGAAAAAGATTGAGTTCATGCTACTTGATGACATTTTCTAAATATAATATAGTTTCTAAAACACAGGTACTGAAGCTGTAACTTTCATCATTAAAATGCATATGCTAGGAAATGGATTACTTCATAGCATCACTGTTGGTGTATCTTCTTTGGATGTCATCCGTTGTTTATAGCTTAAAATTTAAAATTCTAAAAATTATGACATTTTCAAAATTTATAACATGTACAATGAGCAGTATCCAAGAAAGCCTGACAGTGATATTATACCACTGTCACCATATTCTATGGCATATTCATCTGCATTGAAAAAGTGTACAAAAATTTGTTTATGATTGCTGAGAAGTGTTAAACAGAAAGGAACAGTTGGATTACCAGTGAACTTGTATAATAGCATCATAGGATAGTAATCAGTTCAGAACTTCATCTGTGAAGTGAATGTGAAATTGAAAGTTTCTGGAAAGAAGAATGTTTTCACACAACAAACTTGATAAACTGATTTAACTTTGCTCCATCTTTTACGCGTGCCACATTGCAACCAAGATTGTGTATTTATCAGCGTGAACTTCGAATATTTTATGATAGTTCTGAATAAAACTGTTAATATATATTTTCATAACATATTTCCAAGTATTCATCATTTGCAAATGAATTGTGGTTAACAGTGATATTCAAACAAAATATAAAATTGTTCCTGTACTTAAACACTCCGTGAAGGCATATGGAAGCATGACAGTAAAACTCACTTGCTCTTTCTGCCCCAGTTTGTGCTGTTCACATATAATTTGAAGTTAATTTACCTTTTACTTTAATGTGAAAGTTAATGCAAAGTCATGCATAACTCTTAAATAGTAACATACATATCTGTGTGTAGGTGTTGAAATAAATGTGTGGTATTTTAATATTATATCACTTAAACACTTGAAGTTATTGCTGCTTCATGCAGGTTATGCAGAATTGAGGCAGACTCTATGTTCAAGGTCACTGAAGCAATTCAAGAATAACAGCATTTTACGACGTTTAGTAATATATACAACTGCAGTACTTCCAATTCTTTTGTGTGCTATATTAGTTTTTAATTATGTGTGTTTGTGTCATATCTGTAAGTATTTACATTTGTAATTTAGAAAGTGTGGTGAAGTTTTTTCTGTATGTTAAAATGGAAGGTCTCCATTTAAAAGATTGTAGGTAATGGGAACTGTCTGTTCTGGTGTCACTGTATTGCTGACAGGGATGTTAAGGGGATAAAGAAAGATCATTATGGAGTAATATACAAAACGAAGCATTCTGTGTTGAATTTTAGCTAGCTTTTTACACTAGCAAATCACAGAACACATTTGGAGTTCTTTAAACTAAACAATAAATGTGAATACTTGTATGTAAGATTTGAAGATTTCACAGCGGTGAATATGAAGATTTCTGTCTTCTGGGTTGTTGCGCTGTGTAGTATGGTTGATGTTAACCAACGTTTCAGAGGTCATACTGCCTCCGTCAGTATGACCTCTGAAACGTTGGTTACATCAACCAGAGTACACAGCGCAACAACCCAGAAGATAGAAATCTGAATACTTGTAGTTTGGTAATGACATATTTTAGTATGATATGATATAATCAAAATTGGACCTATCATAATCATTGTATTCTTTTCATAAAAAATGCCTAGTACAGAACTGTACTGCATTTTTTTTTTTCAGTTTGCATAACTAGAAGCATTTATTGATAAATTGCCAGTAAAAGAAAACTGACATTCTTTCATTCTGTTGTTTGAAATTAACTGCTATGATGGATTTGTTACATCTGTCTTAGTTCATTCTTAAGCTTGGAGAGTTCTGTATTTACCAACAATCTCACATAGTGAGTTCTAAAATGTTGATTAGGTTTGGTATTCACATGTCAAGTGTGTCATCAATATTTCTAAATTTTCATTTTGTTTATATTATAAATATTGCCATGTAAGTAATTGAAGGAGCAGCTTATCTTGTTTGCAAGTATTATTTATAAAGTGGATATATATTTTTACAGTTATTTGTATGAAATTGTCAAAAGTGTTTTGTAAAATTGGTATCGATAGTGTGCAATAATGTACTTCTCTGCCAATAAATTTTGCTTAATTTGAAAATTTGTTTACATTGTGCATTAAATTACTTAACAGTTGGTTAGGAAAGATATTACATAGAGAAACAGTGTATTTAATTAATTAAATACACTGGAACAATTATGTGCTTCTCAACTTCAACTTTTACATCATTATTTCCGAGTACATGAGAAAGTGTTGAGTATATAAAAAAGAAATGTCAATATTTTGTGTCTTTCTAAAATTAGAAACCAGTTTGTTTGTTTTTTCCTAAAATGTACCAGTTCTTGATGTCGTGGTTGTGAAATATATAATGAAATACAAGGGAAAGATAATGTATTCATATCCATTTTGATCAGCTTTTTCAGCCTTTTATGTTTCTCCATTTCGTTAATTTTTAGTGTTCATTTCTGATAAAGAAATCGGCAACAAGACGGAAAAGATTAAAGAAGTTAATTTGTCTGCAATAAATGGCCACCTGCATTGCAGAGGAATATAAAGTGCAGATTTGGAAAATATCACTTTTCCGTTAACCAACTCCATGGAGCAGGGTCCTTGAGAAGCTGATAGTTGTAGAACTTGTTAAAATGTTCTTACTTTTCATGTAGTTTTTATGTCTATTACCATGTTTACAAGGTTATGTCATTGAATCCTGTCCTGAATTAGATTAATCCAGTCCACAGATCTTGAACTTGGAAACTCAGTGTTACTCAAGGTACTCAGAACCTCTTCAAGAGATACCTTTGTTAAGTAGATTAACGCAAATATTTTGCCTACTTCCTCATAGAAAATTCACTAACAAGTAATTAGCATATACCAGTAAATAAAATGGGTACTTACATTGATTAGTAATATATGTAAATTAATAAAAGACTCTAATGACTTCATATTTTAACTCACATAAAATACACATATCAAAAATAAAACATCAGATAATATATATGAATTAAGTTTATAATCATATATAAAACAAAATTTAAGTGTTTTAATTGCAATTGAGAGGTACCAGGTTTGAATCTTAGGCCATGATACCAATTATCCTTTTGGATATTTTATGGTTTTCCTGAGTCCCTGCAGGTAAATGACAGGCTACAATCTTCTCATCCAGTTCTTTCCAGTTTAGCATACATAATCAGCCTGTCAACATTTACGTAGCTCAATTATGATGTAAAGAGCACCATGCCACAAAGACATATGGAGGAGTGGGTATGAAGTTTCACGTATACTTACCCCAAAGGATAGCTCCCTGGTACCCATTACATAGGAGGCTGGATGAGCCCTGGAAGAATGAATCTCAACAAGGTGGAAAAGAGAATAATTATGAATCAAACCATTGCAATCCAGCCAATAGGCATCACTTTCCTGACTGAGCTGTCCTCACTCATCAAATACTATTATGGATTACAATAATGAAGTATATAAAACACAGCATGCTTGAATGGTTTGTAAGCTCTTGACTTTCAGTTGTTTAAGAAAAAAGTATTTTTAGTTTATTTATTTTTTAATGATTTGACATAATATGAGAAAGTGCTGAGAAAGATATTCATACTTAACAGATTTAAGTAACAGGAGGGTGGAGAAAAGTACATAAGTTTACTTCATGGTGTTACTTTGAACTTAATACTGTTAGGGTAACTCAAGAAGAAAAACATGGCAGGACAAGCAGTACATGTTTTTTGGCTACTTTCAACTGCTTTGCATGATTTCTACCTCAACATGTTTCTGAAATAGTATGAAAAATCAATATATATTTTAAAAAGTGTCAGTTTGTATTGCTATGTATGTTCAAAATCAGCAGAAGTCAGCTGTGATTGAAGTTTTTCAGGATTTAATTTATGGGTTCTTTTTACATATACAGAATTTCAAGGTAAAAAATTATTTCTAATAAGTATGAAATTCGTATATCTCAGTGAAACAAAATACAGAACATTTTCAATTCGTGCATGATTTGTGATAAATACAAATCACAAGTAAATATTTAACACTGAGTGGACACTTCTGCTCATAAATTTGACAGGAATCCTTTAAAGGGGCATCATACTTGAGTGTTGAGTATTCATTTCTCTTCAGGGGTTTTTGCCTGAGAAACAAGTGCAATTCTGCAGTATGTTTGTGTTTTGTGTTTCAGGATCAAGTGGCAGGATGGAGTCCTCCCTCCAGTACACCCATTGGAGATGGAAACAGTGTGTCAAATGTGACAGGACAGCAGGTGACCCCATTTGACTTCTGGCATAGGTATGCATTTTACAGATTAGGAAAGTAGCTGACCAGTGTTCCAAGCACTACCTCCATGGAGTAAAGTTCTTGAGAAACTGATATTCACTCAGATAATGAAGACATTTTATGGAACCTGGAGTTTATTACTATGTTCACAGGAGCCCACCACTGGGCCCTATCCTGAGCCAGATAAATCCAGTCCACATTTCCATAATGTTGATACACGTGGACATTTCTAGTAATAAGACATTTCTTTCAGCAGTACCAACCCTGTAGTCTAATTTTAGGGTCCTGGATCCTAGAGATTTCTGAATTTATTCAACCTTGGGAATAAATTCCTACAATTATTGTGCTATAAGCATTTTATCTGCACAGCAGAACACACAGATCAAGTGGGTTAATGTGCAAGTGTAGGTGATTTAAACCCCTAAAATTTGGGGCTTCTGGCCAGACTTTGAGTACAGGGATTAACAGTTTAACGGCATTCTACTGTGATATATGGCTAGCTAGATTGTGTCTGAGTAGTGATGCATGGTTGATGAAAGTTACGTATGCAATGATGCACACGAATATCCTGAAGTGGGATTTGCTGAACTTAATACTGTTGTGCTATAATTTATACAACTACTGCTCCAGTTATGACATAAAGCATTCAAGTTTAAGAAACATACTATTTGTTGAAGGTATATATTAAATATTCGTTGTTAGAATGTACTAACAACATGTATATATATATATATATATATATATAAGGGACAAGTATTTAAGAAAAGTAGTTTTCGTAAGTTTTCCAGAACTTCATATTGGTGGGTAGCTGAAAGTTTTCCAGTTTGATTTTACACATATTGCAGGAGAAGACTGCCATTGTGTTGCTCACCCTGTGATGCTGTATTTGAATTGGTCATTTGCATAGCCACATAAGTACACAATAATTGCTTTTGAGGAAACTAAAAACAGAAACATGCCTGCAGACACATTATTTTAAGCTTGGTTTATTTTTCTTCAAGAATAATTAGCAGGTATCTAATTTATTGGTACATTTATAGTTCTTTAACATCTTTTGCATCTAGTTACAAGCTGAATTTGTTCATGGGCTTGTTTTTACAAGTACCCACATAATATTGAATGAATATTGCATGACACATGTGGTTATGTATCTTTTCATTGATTTCTTTATGGTCAAAACTGCAACCAAAACTTTTTACCATGAAACAGGCTATAAATAAGGCTGCCTATGTGCAGCAAAGTCTTTGACCTGTGTGATTCTTGTGGGAAATGATGACTGGAATAACTTCATTCTCTTTATAAAAAAGAGAGAGACTCATGTGGTTTTGCAAATGATCAGTTCATTTGTGCTTCAGGTTTCCTCAGATGTTTCATGGATATGAGGGAATGACAGCGTCCCAACCTGCTGTTGCCAGACAGTGTACAAAGAAGGAAATATACAACATCAGTTGTGAATCACCAGGAATTGGTATGTTAGCAGCAAGTTGCAGTGATGACATGACATTTTATATAGGACAAAGCCTGGTTCACAAATATGGTAGAAGCAAGCCACCACTTTCTTTACGCAGCAGGCCATTTAGCTGTGAGACATGTGGCAAGAGGTTTACTCTTAGAGGCAGCCTGAAAACTCATGAAAAACTACACTCATTCCGACTGGCATACCGCTGCCACGTGTGTGGCAAGACATTCAAAGTGGAAGGGGGACTGAAGTCACATACAGTGTTACACACTAACCACAGACCTTTCTTGTGTGTTGTATGTGGTAAAGGTTTCACCCTTAAAGGTAGTCTCAAAACACATCTGACACTACACTCCGTTCATCGAGCAACTTATCCGTGTGATATTTGTGGGAAGACATACAAAGGTAAAGCAAGTTATGAATCACACAAAGCCCAGCATTTGGGCCAGCCATTATATCAGTGCGAAATTTGTGGCAAGAATTTTACATTGAAAGGAAGTCTTAAGCTTCATTCCATGTTACACTCAGGGTTGAAGCCTTATACTTGTCAAGTCTGTGGTGCGGGCTTTACTGTACGTAGTCACCTCACACGACATTTCCAATTGCATAACCCTTCATGAAACTGTGAGTCCTAGTGCACAAGCTTTGTAAATGCATTCACATTGTATTTAGTAAGAATTGTTTGATGGTATATAGTCTGAGCTTCTGACAGCAGTAATCCAAAATATGAAGCAGACTTAAATACTTTATTACCTTAATATTTAATGTTTGCACTGTAAAATAACACTTGTAGGACCCACTCAAGCTGAAAGTTTAGTTGAGGGCTTCCTTCTACTCAGTTAATATCACTACAGTTGGTAACATTTCTTAAAAAACATAACTCAGCAACAGTATGTTTTTAAAATATCAGGGAATTAAATCTTGCACTAGTAAAGATATAATAATCAAGCCAAACCTGTTTCATTTAGTTGCGTTGTAGCCGAGCTTTAAACTGACAACAGAGGTTAATGTGTGGAAACAGTCATTGCTGGTCACATATTTAAATATGTTAGATAAGAGTGCAGTGAACAGTAACAAATTCGCCTTTTTTACTTCCATGAGAAAGTAATAATTATGCTTTGGTGTCCTACAACCTGTATGTCTCATTATATCACTGTATTAGCATGTGGCAATATAGAAATTGAATACATAAGGCGATAAAATAATTTTTAGTGAAGTTAAGTGGAATATGTAACCTGAATGTTGATGTCTGTGGTTTAAATTCATTGTATATGAAGTAGAAATTATGGTTTGTGCAAGGATTGAAAGGCCAGTGTTAATATTATATTTATTAATAAATTCGTCATAATAAAATACTTATTAGTATAAAAACAGTTAAGTGACAGCAAAATCAGTTTTACAATAAACACACAAGTCACACAACAGACAGAGCAATACTGCCATTTGTTGCCTTCCAATACAAACCAAATGTCCTAATGTAACTCTTCGAAACACGTTATAATGAGATCATAGGGAGATGCTTTTCCTAATTTCATGATAATTTCTAAAATGTATTGTTTAATTTGTGGGTCATTACTGTAAATTGTTATTGCAAGGGAATAGTTATTTTTAGTTAGCTGTGATTTATGTCTAGTTATCTGCCCTTTTTCATGAGAACCAAATGAAGATAGGAATGCATTAAATGAAAACAAAAGAAAATACAGTTGATTTATATCTTTATAGATATATAGATTTAGTGATTTATATCTTCACAAATTTTGGAGAGCTTTGTCTCAAAATTTGCTTTTTGTATGTTTATTCCTCCTCTTCAGAATGCCTCAGACTATTTAGCGCAAGGTTTAAGTACAGATCATTTCTCATTCAACTGCAAAATACCATACCAGTCTGTAGCACAGGTACAAAAAGCAGCTCTGCAGTGCACAGTGTAAAGCATATAACCTGGAAACAGATAAAATGAGTTGCCTGTACAAATATAAGTCTTTTATTACAGATGAGCATGTAACCTTATATATCTTTAGTTTTTACCTTTTATTTGATGAAGTTAAGAAAAGAGTAAAATCACAAGGTACTTATTATTATATTCTTCATTGTTGTTGTTACTACTGTTACTTTCATGAGCGCTGCACACAGATATGTACATTTAGACTGTTTTGAAATTAATGCCAAAGATTTTCAGGATTACTTCCATGATAAAAATTATGACACGAATGTATTGTTGCTAAGTGGCTTCTAATGCTAATTTTTACACAAAACATTCATAAAGATTATAAATCATGGTTGCCTTGCAAATTCGCAGGCATCTTCCTGCAGTTATTTCCTTTTTATTTTCTTTTTCAAAGGAATTTGGCTAAATGTCCATTTACCTTGCTTGCATTTTAATTGCCTTAGTTTGTCATCAAAATAGTTTCAGTAGAGAACTAACATATTTTTAAGAAGATGTATTTAAAAACAGTTAAATGGCAGAATGTGCTTGTTAACAAGTTACAGATGCAATATTTCTAATAACAGGAAGTGTACTTTTTATCTCAACATTTAAGTTTTGTGCTCACTTATCTTTTATTAACTAACTCAATGGAGCAGTGTGATTTTCGAGAATCTGATAGCCATTCAGCTGTCTTTTGTTGAACCCAGAGGTTTATTACTGTGTTCAAAACAACCCACCAACTTTGAGGCTCTGTGTAATATTTGTTGACATGCTATGTGTTTACGGTGAGGAATTGTTAGCCCGAAGTTCTATTGGAGATATTGTGATCTGAGCAGGAGGATATAATTTAAGAATGGAGATTACACAAGAATATCTTTGTGTTCTATGTGTGTCTAGTATTGATAATTTAGGTATATTAGTAACTTCACGTCACGTTGGACTTGTTAATATGGTGTAAATGAAAGGAAATAGAATTTTGGTCAAGAAGCCTCCTGGGAATAAAACGTTCTCTTAGCTGTTTTCATAGTGCATTTTTGTACTTACAGTTGGCTGAGTTTCCTAGCAATTGGCAGTGTGTTGATCTGGTCCTTTAGTACATACTGTCGCAACCCTTTCACACAACTTCCAAGGTATTCATTCCAGTTTACTTGCTTGATGTCAAAATTGAATATTACACGGTCTTCAGGTGTCAATTTTGCAAGCAGAGATCTCAGATTTGTGTCGTGATACAGCCAATCTCTTCCACTGAAGTACTTGACTGCCATGGTGAACCTCAATGACCTAAGTGCATGTTTGATGTCCCTGCATGCAAAGAGCAGAGTACAGACAGTTCTTTACCTTTATTGGCCTCGTGTTCATGGCATACACACGGTCCAGCTGGCAATGCGTAACGTTAGCATGTCACTAAACCATTAAATCCAGGAGTTAAAGTTTGATCAGTTCTCACAGTGGCAACTTGCTGCCTCCATCATCAGGGCGATTAGTTGCATTGACTGATGATGGAGGCAGTAAGTGCCTCTGAAATGTCAAGACTACGTGACGCTAAAGCACATCAGACAAGCAGTTTTATTCATTCAGTTGTCAGAATATAGACATCAGTACATTATTATATCCCAATACAAGCATATTTATAACCTTATATAATGTCTGGACATTTTAGAACTTTACGTGGTACCCCAGAATGAAGTGAGTGATGCAGTCTTTCGGCTTGATGGAGCCCAACCTCATTACACAGATACTTGCAAAGTCTAAGCATGGTGGTTTGGCTACTTTACCTCTCAGTCATGCATTTATTTTATGCACACTGGGTAAAGAATGCATAAAGAACAGAGTCTAGTACTTTCTTATGTGTACTCCTGCCCATTTGCATAACTTAAAACAGAGTGTTCACGCAAAAGAAGAAATATGGATGTGACTTACAAATGGAAAGGCAAACTATATTTTAGAGAAATACCTTGACACATATGCAAGTATACCTGTTTGATCCTGATGAACAGTAACACAAGACGTGTGCCAGAGAAGCAGGTATCAGCTCCAAACAGAACCAGAGAATTAAGTAAACAGGCCACAGGCTGGTTGTTACAAAGCAATAGTACCATTTTGCGTGGGATGTTGGATATTGAATGATTGTCTGACCACAAATTGACCAGTATTGTTTCCAAGAGATGGGATTCTGCGCACCTGACACAAAGTTGTACACCTTGGTATGGCCACTGCAACAGAATATGTACCAGATGTATGATGCATTACAGAGTTGTTTTCCAGGATATTTAAATCTTTTAAATTACAGACAGAATTAAAAATGTACTGATCTACTCAAGTCCCTACCTGATAAGTAGCAGGGTTCTTTTTCTTGAGTGTAACGATGGCCAAAATGTTAAGCTAAGCACTAAGAATTTCTGAAACTTTACCAATACACCCCTGTTACATAACTTCATGGCATGTTCTTTGTCATGGAGAAAGCCTTAACATTCTTTCTGTACTATCGAAGTATTAAGTAACGAGTCAAGGTGCCATGTTCAGCGTGAATACACTAATTCCTTGTTTTACTAACACAAATATTTGTTAAACTAAAATGCACCCTTATTTAATGCTGAGGTTAATAATGAGTAAGAGCTATACCTCCTCCTCTCCCCTCCCCTCAAGCACCTTCGCGGCATGTAGTGGGACAGCTTTACATTTTTATTTTTTTTATTTGGTATAATGAGAGATACTAATTGGAATGAACAGCCAGGGTAGCTCAGTCAGTATAGTGACTAGGCTATGGACTGGTTGATTGGGTTTTGTATCCCAGCACAGGCAGATCTTTTTACCAGTGCATCCAGACTGGCTCTGGGGCCCACCCAGCCTCTTATCAAATGAGTACCAGGGTTCTTTTCCCATGAGTAAAGCAGCTGGGAAATGAAGCTGAGTGATCACGTCTGGCAGCATACTCATAGCTCTGCATATTTTTGTTGTATTAAAAATGTATTGTTTACCAAAAAGTTATATTTATTTTGCCATTATGTTATTAATTTTAAACATTCACAAAATTGAGCTTTAATAATGGTTTTCATGGTTGGATTTCCAATACTGTTAAGTCCCAATTAACTGACCTAAACAGGACTAAAATATGGTCAGATAATATAAAATGTCGGATAACGTGGAAGACTAATGGAAAAGATGAGGGTAAATATCAACTGAATTTATGATATTAAATTATGAAGAAAACATGATATAACATCAAATGAAAAAATCTCACAAACAAAAATAGTATTTATCATCATGTAAATTTGTAAATGAATGAGTTTATTTTTTTAAGAAATTAGTAATGGGTATTTTCTTCTGAGCCACAGCATGTTGGACAAAGTGGGATGTTTGGTAACTGAAGGTCAGATAATTGGGACTCTATTATATTTTTATCATTGTAATGCAACATACCATGGATTATCAGTTCATTACAATACAATGTAATTGAATTACCTGTGGCTAGACTCTGCTGTTTCCCAAGCAGTTGCAATCATAGCGTTCACACACATGTCCACTGGTACTAGGTCACAAACTTTTTGGAGGTCAAACAGACCAACTCGAGTATGCCCAAGATATGCATTATAAAGAATGATGGTTATGGTCTGAATGTTGTCAATCCATCCAGGGTTTGGTTCCTTCCAGGCATTAATCACTATATGCAGGAAAGTTGATGCTTAATTGAAACATATGGTAATTATAATACATATCTGTTTCAACATTATTCCACTTGCTTATTTACATTTCAGCTGCATGTGTTAGTGTTTGTATTAAGTGACAGCAGTATGACCTCCGAAACGTTGGTTAACATCGACCAGACTACGCAGCGCAACAACCCAGAAGACAGAAATCTTCATGCTTTTAGTTACATTAGCAGATATCTATATGCATTTTCATAATCACCCTGATTTGCAGCCCCCATACTTTTAAAAAACAAAGCTGCATAAGTACTAGAGGTGATTTTAAGGTTAAGGTGAAAAGTGGAATTTAAAGAAAAAATAAAAATGTCTCACCCATTGAAGGCCTGAAAATAGCCACTGGCAAGCGCTTATTATTTTGTTTAATCATGTCTTCTGCTAAAGCTTTGCTGTAGGTGTAGGTATTTGGCCACTTCTCACTTCCTCTGTAAACACATTCATATGTGGAAACTTCCAGTAATCAATATCAATAATCCTTAGGGTTGAAATGCACTTACTTTGGCCCTGAAGATGGAAGCTGTTTGTTCCTCTGAAATGTTGGTATCTGCGTACAAGTCTACATAGTATTACATCTCAGAAGACTAACATGATGATGATTGGTAGCAAAGGGAATTTACCCTTAATGTGGACTCCAGATCATGTTGGAGGCATGGTACTTCCCACAATCAGAGATGGGGAATGGAAACACGTGCAGTGAAGTTCAGTCCATTTCAAACCTGGGGCCGTTTGCATACGTCCCAACTCATAAAATTTATTGGACTACTTAAGTTTTAACTGATTGAAGAACAAAACGCTAAACTGGGTGTAATTCTAAGCAAATGTTTACAGTCCCTTTGATACACGTAATCAAACTCTTAAAGAACATACATACAAAATGTTCTTAAAAATTAACAAAAACTTCCCAAAAATAGTATTTTTCTACATATAATTTTAGTATTGTTTTTACCTGAATTTCATTCCACTTTCTCCATCCGAAGTTGTTTCAACAAGCTGTCTGTTATCCACATCCATAGGGTACACTTTTTCCTTAATTTCCGTATGAGGACACTGTGAATATGCTGTAGACACGAAAACCACCGCCTGCGTACACAACCATGTGTAAACTGAATGTATTTAACTTATTGGGAGAATAATATGGAAATAATGAATTGGTTCTGGAAGAAGTATGGTGTGGACTGGATCTGGCTGAGGACAGGGACCAGTTATAGGCTCTTGTGAATGTGGTAATGAACCTTCAGCTTACATAGAAAGTGGGGAATATCTTTACTATTTGAGTGACTCTTAGCTTCTTGAGAACAACTCTGCTCCATTGAGTTAATTTGTTAGTTTTATTTCCTGGTACAAGGTATTCCATAAGTTGGCAGTTGTAGGATTTGAGGGTTTCATGGCAGTGAGTCTGAAGATTGCTGTCTTCTGGGTTGTTGCGCCATGTAGTCTGCCGTATACTTCTACCATACTACATGATGCAACAACCCAGAAGACAACAAACTTCAAGTTGTTTGTTATTCTGCACTTCGCAAGTTTCCCTCTTATTGCATGTGTAGTGAGTTGTTACTAATTTATTTATGGTTATTTAATAACATTATCAGTAGCTCAGACTATATTATTGAAATTGAAAGGAAGCAGTCATGAGCTTCTGTAAGGTATTATCCATGGAGTGACTGAGGAAAGCCACTAAAATTAGTAATACTGACTACTGAGCCATTGCATTCAGTGTAGTGAGCTGTTAAAAATCAGTTTCCATCTTCATAACTAATTTCCCTAAGGTTTGGTTTAATACTCTTTCATCTGTGCCTTGATTTCACATCTGGATTTTTTTCATGATCTTTTCTAACTGAAAAATTGTATCATTTCTTGTTTCCTATATGCATTATAAATGTCTTGATTATTCCATTCTCTTTGATTTTATCATTGTGGAATACTGCATTAATGTTACAAACACGAAAGTTTAATATTATGTAATTAAACATTCTCAACCTTATTGGCAGTGATTGTTTAGGTAACAACATTTTGATAATGAGGGAGGCTACGTTAGAAGTTTCAAAGAAATTTAATTTTGGTTTGTAATGTTTCTCAGGAAGAGTTTATCATAAAAATTTGTTTATAATGTAAAATATAAATTTCATTAACGCTTTACTTTTTATTTTAAACATTTTTTCAATATTAAATTACATGCAAAAGAAGCCATTGTAACTGTAGGTTAGGTTATGTTAGGTTAGGTTTTTATCAGCGACAAATTAACATCAAGGCCAACAAAGTACTTCAGAGTACAGAGTACTTCACTGGAATACACATGTACATTCTCTGTTTTCTTTACCTTGATCTGTGGCATCTTTTCACACAGCTGTAGTATAGCAAGAACAGGTAGTGTATTTGTGTTCATAGCTGTATTGAGTGGCTCGTGGAACTTTACTATGGCAGCAACGTGAAATACCACAGACACTTGACTTGTGAACAGAAGTTCATGATTCTCACTAGACAGGCCAAGTCCTGGCTGTTCAAGGTCTGCTTCCACAGGGACCACTTTCAGCAAGTTGTCTTTGGGTACTGTAGAGAATATCTGCACAAATTTATGTAGTTATCAGTTATTTATTGTGGTCTGTTTCTTATTAGCATGCCTGATATGATTTCAGTTCTTGGTTAACACGAAATTGATTTTAGTGCATGAACCAAACAAGATCCCTTGCAGTTATTATATTGTCTGTAATATGTGCAAAATATTTTGAAACTAACACATTTCTGTAAATTCTTACATATTCTATTTCTTTATGCATTTATTCTTCCCACCTCACCACAGAAATAGTAAGACAAAGAATAGATGAGATGTAGGAGAATGAAATGTATGCATGTCACAATGAAGTTATTGTTCTAGGTTTCGGTACCACACAGACTCATCAGTAGATGCCATCTTCAGCCCTGAAGATGAAGACAGTATGTTTCTCTGAAACGTTGGCATCTACCAATGAGACTGCATGGCTCCAAAACCCAGAAGAGCAGTTTTGTCGTCACTGCCATAAAGACCCTGAATCACACTCACTGGATTTGATAGTATTTTAGAAAGCCTGTCAGAGCAGCTGTCTTCATTCTTTCTTCTTAAGAGCACAATTATCCTTTTGATGTCTGGGCATGACAGGAGCAGTTTCATTAGCAGCATCTTACCCAAAAATCCACTTGCTCCTGTGAGAAGCACAACTTTCCCCTGGTAGAATTTTTGCAGCGTTGTTGCCATGTCTTCACATCTTAAAACAAAATACAGACATTTATGAACAGAGTTTTTACTACACAACTTTCTTGCCCGATCATATACAAAGCCATTTTACAAAACTCAGCCATACAGAAAGAAGGAAAATATAAATTACAAGACTGGGAATATTTTCTTAGTGTCACATGACGCGAGTCATAGTTGCACCGATGTGATCCAAAGCCATTGTTGCTCAATAATGAGTTTATAACATTGACTCCTGGTCATGCAAGTTGCCTACCCACGAAGGAAAGCGGCGACAGACAGACGTGGACTGAAAAACGGCAAACAAATGCGTCTTATTTGTGTATTATGATATTATTTAAAGTAAAACTTTGTTCATCTCTTGATTCAGAGCACATAAGAAGTTCTGTGGATCTCTGCCTTCCGTTGTACATACGCCTACCACCAAACACTGTTACTTCGTTCCTAAGAAGCTCCTTACTTACCTGCGCATCTGTACACTCACTGAGCTGTTTCGGATATGTATTCATGGCATCAATTCAGGTATGACATATATTCTCACATATGTGTGTATGAATTGAATTTGAAAGCCTACACACGTGACGTCGATAAATTCAAGGTAATTAATATATGGACGTCACACATGGTTCATTTAATCACTTATCGCTATTGATGCAGTTTCGAAAGACAGGATGAATTAAAAAAACAAAATTGGTTTTGTAGTAGCAAAACGTTAATATTTCAACACTGCTAACACAAAACCTGCCATTGAACTCCCTCCTGAGCCACTTCCGTCCACCTCCTATCCCCGCAATGTCTTCCTAAGATTTATTCTAATGTTATCCTCCTTTTCGATATTCCAGGTGGGCGTTTCAAAGAGGTTTCTTCACAAAAATCCTTCATGCGTTATTTGACTCTTAATCCTAGCCACGTGACCAGCCCACACATTTCACTGCTGCGCACTTATAAAACCACGTAACCACGCTGAGAACCAACATATGCTTATTATATAGATTTACTAGTATTATGATAAATTGAAAATAATGTGGAAGGAAACGTCCATGGAAAGTCTTAAGACCCCATTCCAGTATATAATTGGAGTGGCTGGAGAAAATCATTTCAGTCTGCCATTAATTAACTGTGAGTAAACTGCACATCTACAACTCCCGGTTTAATAAATATCTCGCTTTTGTATCGAAACCCCCTGTTACATTACTGTAACAGAAAATATTCGCCTTTATGTGAAGTCGGGGAACCCGGCACTACTGTAACATTCATCCAACAATTCCAGTTCTTTTCTGCCAAGGCATAAGGCAAATTGTCTTGTAAAATTCGACCCAAATAGGATTAAAACTACATAGCCCCTTCTCAGGAACACGTGTAAATATGTAAATCCATAAGTCACAAGGCGAAGTGTATTTTTAAACCAGTAATTGGAAACTATGCAGCTTTCGTTCATTTGTGGACCTTAAAATTTGAGTTCCTTGTGAAATTTCTGATTTTGGCGACTTTAAAGGTGAAGGTGTTCTGGGTTATGACACCGTGTGGGCTTGTAGGTACTTGGAGAAACATACTGTCTCCATCTTCAGCCCCGAATAAGGAGACAGTATGTTTTATCCGATACGTCGGTGTTCCCACGGCGTCACAACCCAGAACATCATCATCATTAACACTTCCTTCTTTGGGATCTTACGAGCGTTTTGCGTCTTTCCGTTTATCCTCTTAATTGGTTGCGTTGAAGGTATTAAAGTTGTCCTTGTGTTTAGTTAAGCATCATGACAAATTTATGGTGCACCATGCATTCTTGACTTCTATGCTATGCTCTGCCGCACGATGTTTGAAACTTTAAGTAAGCGGCTTGAAGACGGAGAATAGGTGGGATTCTGGTGAAACAAAGAAACGTGTTCAAGTGTAATAATGATAAAAACACGTCCATGTTTATTGTTAATAAATGCAAATAAAGTTGTATTTAACCCCATACCCCCGTACTTTACACAATAGGCTTACTTTTAAAGTATCCATTCACTATGGGGAAGCAGGCCACTTATTGGAACGATGTTACCAGGTTTGCCACCATGTTTTTCAATGTAGCAGTGTCGACATATTCCAATTTAGGTTAAAATAGAGCAACAGTAACACTTTCCATGAAGACGTACATGCGCTTCTGCGCACCGAAATTGCTGGTTGGTTAATCTCCAGGATTACATTGGTTATCGTGGTAGCAATGGTTACCTTCGTTAAAGATCGAATGTCAAATTCTGGTAATCACACCGGAATTTTTACGATTTGTCGCTGGTGAAATGCTCACGGCTGCTTTGTTAGCATAAAGTTGTCGGCAGTGGGAAACAGCGTACAGATGCTGGGTGGCCTCTGTGACATGATAGGGATACCAAGCTTTATTAGAGATCACTGCTTAGGCCGAAGTTAACGAAACGTGGGCCAAATGACAATATTATCTTCAGAAACTTCGCCTGAGGTGAAATTTTCTGAAATTTAAACGGCTCGAAATAATTTTGAAATTGTCGTGAAAGTCAGCTTGAAAACAATTGCGACATTATTATTATTATTACGCTTATTGTTACATTTACTTACCATTTTACAGGGTATTTACTGCTATGTACCTGAGAAAGAACTTGTCCCTGACATACATAGTGCATCAGCTATTTCTGAAATACATTTTGTTTGTTATTATTATTAATCTTTGATGAGACTCTTTTCCAGATACTTCCTGGCGTTTGACGTCAGTTGATATAAAAATATTAAGGCAGCGGATGTTGTCGACTCTCAGCTGAATAACAGCACTATAAAGCAGGCTTAATGTTAAGTCATCTAGAGAAAAAGAATTGGTGGATAAAAAAGGTATATACCCCTAACAGATCGAGTGCGTGATGCAGATGTAGAACATTATTACTTTTTTCTGATAGTTACTACCTATGTAGCCCCTTAAAGCATCATTGAAGTGTTAAATCTAACGTTTACATTGAACAACAGTTAACTTTATTTACAGTATAAACATCAGAACGTACGTAAAGTAAGGATAAACAATTATCTTCATTAAAACCTTAATTACTGTAAGTATAATAATCATAAAAATTCGATGATAAGAAATTAATCGGTTTTTCGTTATACCGAAAATTCAGCAGTAGAGGGACAGGTGTATTTTCCTAACAAAATTACTAGACCATCGTTTGCATTTTCATAGCACTCATCCATCGAACGATAATGCCACGCCATATACTGAATGATGGATTTCGTCCAGAAAGACATGTTGAACAAGAACAGCATTTTTCTTCCTATAACGAAAGGTGCTGGTACTCAGATGTAACAAGGGGGGATGAAACTTTTAACAAACAACTTAAGCTAAATATAAATTCATACTTCTTCCTGCACCTTTCATTTTCTCATTTTGGTAACAAATGTTTAATTTTCTTTATTTTTATATTTTATACCATACCATTGTATACCACCAGAAAAAGAAAACCCAAACAATAGCAATTTAATATTATGATCACTTTCACAGGAACCTTCGATTAGGGGACCACCTGCCCCCAAACAACGGAATTACCAACCTGCAAGTCTTCAAAACCTTGCTTTTGAGGCATTAAGGTACTATGTCTATGATTTTGGTGTTCATCTGATTCAGTCAGTAGGAACAAATTCCAAGAAGCTCCACAGTGCAATACAGGACTGTTCATATCTTCAAGATATGCTTCACAGTATGGTGCCTGTCAGCTTTGCCAATGATGTCACAGAAAAGTTGCTTATCTCCGTCGATGACATGTACAAGGATATCCATGCTTGCACTAAGGAATCTTGGTGCGACAAAATAGTTCAAGAGTTGGTCAGAGCCATCTGCTGTGACAAGACTAAATCTATGTCGTACTCTCCGTCTTATCCCAGGCGTTGTGTTCAGCGGACTTTACACAATGAAGAGACTGAAGGTTCTCAAATTGTCGCACTTGATGGATCAAACTTATGAAGTTTTCATTATAAGAGGCCTACATGCTATGATGGATTTAGAAATATTGCTTTAAATCATCACTGTTCTGACAACATTATAATGGCAGTAGGAAGTACATGTAGAAAGTTGAAGGTCTTGGATGTTGCTTTCTCAAGCCGTATAACTAATATCAGCATTGGAGCCATCTTAAAATTAGTGTGTTTGGAAGAGCTGAATATACTTGATACATCTATCTCTTATGAAGGCTATACAAAGTTGATTAACGGATTAAGTCGTAATACAGTGAATGAGTCATTGCTAAAGTTTGGGTGTAGCCGACTCGTAACTTCACACTTTCATCTCCTGCTTAATGGCTTTCAGAACCTCGTGGAAATAAGCATTAAAAGATGCTGTTGTGACTCAGCTGTTGCAGGGTTGCAAAATCTGCAGACTGTCCGGTTTACAGATTTCTGGTTTTCGGACATCCAAGCACTGATTGTCATAAAAGGTTCACAGTTGCTCGAACTGCAACTGAAAAATGTTGGGGACATTAATTTGAAAGTGATTGATGAAAATTGCCTGTCTCTAAAGCATCTTCCCATCAGTGGCTATGTGCGACATGTCCCTCAGTTTGAGAATAACGATGATCCGTTGCCTGGATTCCAATCTTCACACCATCTCTCCCTTTATTTATACAAACGTGAATATTTTATTCCTTATATTCTATCTTAATGCACTAACGTAAAGATAGTGGACATATTTATCACAGATGGAAATGAGCAAGAAACTTACTTGATCATGGAATTTGTACTTTCAAGGAACACATTAAAGTGTTTCGAAGAAATTTCTGTTAAAACTCATATGTCAGGTTTGCTATCTTTGCATACTGCAAAATTGCTTATTGAATGCAGCCCAGGTATTACTAGCTTGAAGGGTGTCAACACTTGGAGCAGTGTTGGCATCTTGGAAGACTTAATCGATGAAATGGCAGAGAATTATCCTCACATTCATCTTAGTGAATAAAATCTGAATGGTGTCATAACGTTTCAGATATTAACTGACATTTCAGAGGAGCATACTGCCTCCATCATGTGGGTGCCATCTTCATACTCATTGCCATGAAAACATGAAATCTCACCTTTTGGAGATTAATTAAAGTTCCTCCAGAAAATAAGAAATACAAACTTTCATATATCATCTGGGGGATGACAGGGTCACATTAGAGGCCCAGTTTCACAGAGACATAGTCTCACCCCATTGCCACAACAAGAACATGTGTGGGCAGACAAGTATTGTCTGTCTGAGAAGAGATTTTACTTGGTCTTGAAACCATTATTTTGATAAATGCGTCCCTAAAACACTGTCCCATTCAAAAATTTTAGACTTGCTACAGTAATCTGTAGAATAATTAGTTTAAAGGTCATGTGACACAGCTTCCATGTTCCAAATGTATGGACACATCCATATTTGTCTGTCACATTCTTCTTAGGAACTAGAAAAACCTGCATGATCTGAGGTCATTGGTGTACCACAGTGTTACAATAGTATGAACTGAGGCCATTTTTGAAACATATTGTTACAGCAGCACTGCTAGCTGAGGTTGTTGGAACACTTACATGACTCAATACGACCATTGCTGGCTTATGTTGCAACAGTGACCTTGGATGGCATTGTTGCCTTTGATAGCAGTGGTGCATTTGTTATCCCGTTTGTTGCCCTGCCAAGTCACTGTGCATGATATGGCATGAAGGACCTCTTTGGAATTTCAGTGTACTTCAAAGAGTACACCTTTCCATTCTTCTTGTTATTTATATTATTGGTATGTACTATATTAGGCATATATTAATAGTGCAGGATTTCTAGATGGCTGAAACATACATAGGTGATGTACAATACATCAGTGATGATTGTGATGCTAGGATCATTTAATGTACCCCACCCCCTTTCATTCATTCAAGGCCACTTTATTTAGAAGCCTGAATGGGCTTTTACATTTGTCATCTGAGTCTTTTGATAGGTTTTGATAAATTCTTCTGCTGTACGTAGGCCTAATGAGTATAAACAATGTGTAAGTTTCCTTCACTTTAATTGATTAAAGGCCTAATTGAACTTTTGCATGTATTGATTGAGTCTTGACAGATCCTGATAAAACTTTATTTACTTTACATGTAGTACCATGTGTAAATTTCACTCACTATAATTCATATTAAGGGCTATTTACATAAATATTTAATTGGACTTTAAGAATCTTTTAATCTCACATACTTTATAATTTCATTTGTATGATTATTATCAAGTGGAAAGGAATTTTTGCATACATGTTTCATTCAATTTTTCTGTACTGTACAATTTATACATTTGTGCACTGGCTAATAAAATTACTGCTGTAATTGAAAGGAGTATATAGTTTTAAATGTTACAAGGTATAAATGAACTATATAAGTCAGAGAACATTGTGTGGATGGGTATACACACACATATGAAATTTGAACTTGTCATGATGGTAATCACTGTTGACCTTTGGGTTGTGATGCCATGTTGTCATACAGATGGTTACCTACATTTGAGAAGAATACCTCACCTCTTGTAGATGGTTATGTGTTTAAGAGGAGTCAAAGATGGAGGTGGTATGTTATACAGAAATGTTGGTAACCACTTACAATGACTATATGGCATCACAACCCAAAAGACAATTATCTGCAAGTAGATATTCGGACAGATTGGCAAAACAAAAATTAATATATGGAAGAGTGGACATGGATATTTTATGCATATATGACCCAAAAATTTCAAATTCGTGATATTTATGTAAAGTGAAATTTGAAACATGGAAACATTTTATGATACAGAATACATTTGCACTTGGTTTCTAACCGTTGCCGAGATGAATATGTCGATGTTGGTCTTCTTGGTTAAAACGCCATACGGACCGACTTATAAACGTTTCGGGGAACATAAAGCCTGCATCTCATCTGTGTATTTCTTAGAAACGTACAAGTCCACACGACCTAACCGCAACATTTTTACCGCAGTGAGAACCTCATGTCTCAAAAGGGGTAATAACTTTACTACATGTAGATTCATCGCATTAATTCAGCAATGTTAATCAGCCTGTAGAACGTGGAGCGCTACTAGCGGTAATTTCTGTTACTTCTAACAAAAGTTGATGGCCCACGTTGGCCAACTCTGTGCACAGCACAGAATGTTGAATTAATGTATGTTGTCACCTGTAGATTGCGCACCTACTTGAATTAAATGCTCTCTTGCGGCCACTCTTGATACCATCAGCCAACGTAGCCATTTTACAACAAAATTATTTAAATAGGTGGTCTTATTTGCAACTGGAGGGCATTTAATTGTTTTGTTTTCACTCGAAATACTTTGTGCTGTTCCACATGAAGGTTGGCGGCGGTGTTTCATAAAGTAAAATAGACTTCGCGCCATTTTACCGAAATGGAAGAGGACCGAACATCGGAAACTGTCGTAATGCCGGACATCTCCGAACCACTAACGAATGAATCCGAGGAACATGGAGTTTTGACTTCGGAATCACATCAAACTGTGACACCGGTTGCAGTTCCTGTGGCATCAGTTCCAGTTTCGCTACCAGTTGGTTCATTAATTGGAGTTGCAAGTGCTGGTACAACATTTAATGTTATCACACATGATCAATTGCAGGTTCGTAAACTACGGTAAATGATCTTTACTGGTTCTGTGTGTTGTTTTTCCAGGGGATTTGAGAGATAGGTGGGATATGTTGGCACTCCCGATGAAAAATCAATAGGTTATGGTCGTACCATTGTGCATTTGGGAGTGAATCAGAATGTAGCAGCGCATGCAGATGTTCTTATGTCAGTTTTCCAAAAAAACAACATTTGAACTTTTAGCGGAAATCTGTGAATGTGTGTAGCTAATTTAGATCCGGCAAAGAAATACTTAAAAATTATAGTAGGGCATAGTAGTTGTAGTGTTTCTGAATTATAGATATTTCTAAGACACCGAAAGTACTTATTTTTTTCGTTATGTGATGTGATGAAGACTACAACCAGGGGAATTAGCAGTCACAGACTTGTGATGGCATTAGATATATAAATTATATTTTAACATTTGAATATCTATGTAAAATAAAATGGTACTCTGTTTAAAAACTGAAATTACAGTTTCCTGCTTATGCTCAGTTCAAGCCGCATGTGCTGTGTGTGGACAACAGTTTCATCTGTGACACACGGCAGGATAAGGATTCAGAACCACTGCGCACCTGGGTGAGGTCTCAGGTAAGATTTTTATACATGGGATGTAGATTAAGGAAGTACTTGTTTTGAAGTAAAAGCAGTTTGATGGAAACATTTTACAGTTATTTGGAATAATAGCTTTCAAGTTTCTGTAGGAGTTAAATGGATACATAGTTTATGTGCATTCCATATATCCCAATTACTAGGCTGTGAAACAAGTCAGGGTGCAATAAACACAGTACACTAAAAGATAGAACAATAAATAGTTTCTGTATTGATTGATTTATCCTAGTTCATACAATAATTAAAACGACATGTTTCGGCCATATATAGCCATCATCAGGTGTTATGTATTTAAACTTATCACTGAATTACTGATTTTTTTATACTGATTTTAATGATTTTTAGTCTTTATTTTCTTATGATGTTCTTGTCCTTTATATTGTTTCTTCATTCGTTGTAGTATCACAGGTCACTAATATGTTTGTAGTTTTTCGTATTTCGTAGTGATGTCAATATTTAGTATATGGACTGTGAAATAAAGGTTTCAAATTTATCAATGAAAATTGAATATAGAAAACAAAATAAATAGTTGAAATTAATCATGTGAACTTACCCAAGAAGTAATATCGTATTCGTATTATGAGAGATTGGTGATGTACTGTACTGTATTGGATTGTGGTGGTTACCGACTGCGGTGTTAGTGGGTGAAAGGTGATTTGTCAGGGATTGAGGTCAAGGTACTGAAGTGCTATTGTACTTAACAACAACCGCATCTACAATATCTTAATAATTAAAACACACTCAAGAACAGAACTTGGGAACAGTTTCAAGTATTATTGAAGCTGGGTGGTTTTCTTCATATTCTTTACTGTGGATTTTATTCCATTTTGGGTTAATTGCAGAATGGAGAGCTGAAGGCAACACATATAGTAATACAAAATGACTCAGGTGGTGGTGATGATCCTAACACCCCTACTGGCACTCCTAGCACTCCCTTGGGACTGCGGGGGGAAACAGTCCCCAGTTCATGGGCAGAATCAGCTAACATGCCTGTTCTACCTGTGAGATGTAAGGTAATGTAATGTAAATGTATATATCGCACATTTTTTGTCTTTCAAAGTTTTCTCTGATATTCCAGATCTTTCACAAACAGGTCATTATCACATCTGCATTTATGAAAGGTTTATAGAAGGATGACACTTTTGGGAACGTAACCACAGGTTGTTGCCTGTGTGTAATGTTTTTGTGGCATACATTGTATTGTTAACTTCAAGAGTGGCAATATAAGGTGGAGGAAAATACTACCCATGTTTTCTCAAACCTAAATATAAAGAAGGTGAATCTTGTTAATAAAATATTTTCTGTTGAAGATTATTATTTAATTTGTACTGTGCTGACAGGTACTGTAGTTATATTAGTGAACTTGGCTTTTCTCATGTTTGGGCCTACATTTATTTATTCATGATTTAAGTATCTGGATGAAATTTTAAAATGCCACTTATCGATTTATATGTGTTCAGTGCTTTTGAATTTTTTATGTTATGATATTCTGCACAGCCGTTATATACTCTCACTTAAAAACAATAATTCTGGCACTTCTTTTGTATGGTTGTGAAATGCAGTGTATGGAGGCATAAATGTCTGGAAGCAATATATGTGGGCTAAAAAGGGATGAAATGTATGAGAATTGCTATTACATTATGAGGAAATTTGTGGTTTATTGCTAGAGTAGTGAAATCTGGGAAGTTATTATAGGGAAACATGTAGTTTGGAAAGTGGCCTCTTGGTAGACGAAGAAAGAGATGGGAGGATAACATTAACATGGATCTTTGGAAAGAAGGATGTGAGGATGTAATGTGACTGGAACCAGGCCAGAATTGTTTCCAGTGGAGATACATTATTAGTAGTGATGAATATTCAGGTTATACTGTCAGAATGTTTGTTACTCACTGTGTTGAGAATCTAACAGAAATACCACTGAATGTCTGTAGAAGTCTGTACCCTATTGTTTTGTACATTTTTGTTACTCTGTTGCATTAGTTTTTATATTTCTTACAAACAACATCCATTTTCAGTGTTATGTTACTGAGTCTGGAGTATAAATAAACATATCAGTTACTGACTAAATGTCAGAACTTTAATTTTATGTACATTATGTCTTTATTTACACCTGTAACAAACTAATTGCAGAATACAAGTGCAGAGTTGCACAAGAATCGGTTTGGGTCAGGTGGACGAGGACGTTGCATCAAGTTGGCTGATGCTTGGTATACTCCTAGTGAGTTTGAAGCACTTTGTGGTCGAGCATCTAGTAAAGACTGGAAAAGGAGTATAAGGTTTGGTGGCCGGAGTTTGCAGACTTTGGTAGATGAAGGGATCCTCACGCCGCATGCCACGAGCTGTACCTGTTCAGCGTGTTGTGATGATGATACAGCAGTGAGTACTGTTATTCTGTGGAGCA